ACCAACACAACAAAAAAAAAATTTTGAAATTAGAGTGTACAGAGCGCGCGAAATTCAAAAAGTCACCTTACTTTTTGATCACACCTCGTATACTTGCATATGTACCATATTGTAGTCTTTTTAGAATTGCGCGCCAAATTGTTTTTCCAGACTATAAACGCAATTAAAACTATTAATCGCGTCTAGTAATCGCGAATTAAATTGATAAGCAATTTAATAATTTGTTGCTACCATCAAGCATCATATTATATATAAAGATATTAATATATTGAAACTGTGTTAATAAATTTATAAAGAATAATATTTATTTATTACATGCTTATTATTACTTTTTATTTGTTTCATTTCAGAAGCGATTATAAAATTAGCTTGTTTTAATTTCGTACATTCAAAAATAAAAGTAATGGCTGACGTTTCTTTGCGACGTTTAACGAGCGTTCTGATCTCGATTAACTAATTCATGATTCACGAGGAAGATCGACCCGCTTTTCCCGCTTTTCCCGCTTTTCCCGCTTTTCTCTTCGCATTTGCGATGGAAAACGCGAAAAAGTACACGAAATTCCGACGGAATGCATAGGTATTCTAGACGGTATCTTCACCGAGAGGTGAGCTTCACCCGATAATCAAAATCCCGATAACCGCGTGACCGATAATACGGGGCAAAAAGCTTGTAATCGACATCCGGACCCTGCGTTTCCCCGTAATCGGCTGAAGTAGGGCAAATAAGTAGTCTGTTATTATCAAGTCGGCCCTTCCATAAATGGAGAGACGGCATTCGCAGCGTGACGGTAAACTACTCCGGCATGCGTGCGGCGAGTTCTCGGAATGCGTAGCGGTGTACTTGACCGAGCGTTTATTCCGGAGAATATTTATCCGAATATTTTTACAAAGATCTTTTTATGCTATTCTTCGTCATTAAATTATTCCAAAAAAAAAAAAAAGAAATGTCATTTGTATGAGGATTTTCAACAACGTGAACGTTCGAATACAACGTTCAAGCTACGGACGTTGCGTTCGCTTCGCTTTAAATATTCGCAATTAATGCAAGCGCGGTAAATGCGTAATCGCGGCCGCCGCGCCGCCTCCAAGTACCGTAGGATAGAACAATTACACGCCCACCGCGAGAAGCTCTATAGATCGTTACTCCCGAGTAGAAATTGCCGATTGCGAACTTTGATAAAGTTCTAGTTTCATTAGTAGACTGAGCTCGCGCTTTATCTAACGTTATTCCATTCGCTCGACTGACTTCAATGTTGTTCGTGCCGTTTACGAGAGGTACTTACGAGGGCCTTGACCGACACCCTGGCGAAGACGGGTGCGTCTCTGGTAAACCGCGAGTAACCCTGCTCGCATACTCTCAGATCACCCATAGACCTCGCCTTCTACGATCGGGGCGAGAGCATCAACGAGAATACAAATTAGCGGTGAGTCGACGTTTCGAGAGACGCGAGCTCTGTGAAATATTGATCGCAAGCGATAATGGAGCCGCCTCACCAAATAAAGATTTCATAATCATTAGACGTTTTTTAAAATTGCCAAATAAAAATATTTCATATTGCAAACAAATATTTCAAATTTTCATAATATCTTATTATTTTATTTTTAATTGCCACGAGATCTCGTAACATTATTTCATATGACGTTAATTAAGATAACGAAATTGTGCTTTGTTGGAAATAAACTTTATTATCTCGCGTAGAAAGATAAAAATACTTTCTGTAAAAATATAATTACTCAGAAAACAATTGTGCTATTATTAGAAATTTGTGTCACAGAACTCGCGCTCTAGACTATTAGTATACTATTAGGATGTTTATTTGCTTGGAATTTACGTAATATTGTCGCCACATTATAAAGCAAATGTCGAAAATGGCTCATGCAACAACAAAAGTTACACAATGCATTTTTCATTCCTGTCATACGCCGGAAATTAATTTGCAACATCGTTAATAAGCATTCGCATGCTTGCAAATTTTGTCTAGCAATAATCGACCCCTTCTTATTTCATTACCACGTAACATAAAAATCATAAATGAATAAAAAATACGAATTATTAAAATTTACAAAATATTGCCAAGTATAAATGAAAATTTATTCAAGTACACATGCCCGGTAAAAAATTCTTCATGCATGAATATGTATAAATATATATAAATATGTATAAATATACGTAAACACGCATAAATATTCATAAATATGTATAATTATATATGAAATACTATGTCCATGCATGTTCGTACATTCTTTTTTCTTTTGTAAAATTACTTTTTAGTGTAATAGAAATAATAATAGTAATGTGAAAATATTAAAAATAATTGAAGTGATAATTTTCGCGCACTGTTCGTTTTAGAAAAGATCAAGTTTAAAGAAAATAAAAAACATTATTTGCATATAACTATATATAAAATTATGCATAATTATGTAGGAGCAATTTTTTAATATTTTTCCAAACTTGTTTTTTTTTCTAAACCAAAAACGTGCGAAAATGATCCCTTTAATTATTTTTTATGTTTTCACACATTACTATTATTATTTATATTACACTAAAAATGAATTTTACAAAAGAAAGAAGGATATATAAACATGTATGGATATATTTCATGTACATATAATTATACATATTTATGAATATTTATGTGTGTTTATGCATGTTTATACATATTCATGCATGAAAAATTTTTTTCGAGATGCATTTATCAGGAAAACGTGGCTGCTTCAGATAATTATTATAAAAAAATTATCATCTTTTAAAAGAATCTTATCGTCTTCTTAAATATAATTTTAATATTATTATCTCTCGTTGAAAAAAGATTGTATGAAAAAAGATTACTGATTGAAATAAACATTAGTCAAAATTTGCGTGACTGTTATAACGTCGCTTTCAATTACATTGACCAGGACAAGAAGAAACACGAAACATTCGCGATACGTGTTTGGACGAATTAATACAATATACAAACCTCTTCGATTTCCATCGCATGGCTCGCTTTCCCAAATGTTGCCTGATCGCCGTCACTCATGTTCGAGATGTCGCCAAAGCTGCGACACTGTTAGTGACAAAATATGTATCTGACAAATGTATCACATATGCTATTAACGAAGCAGATTTGTAGCGAAAGCGTACATTAATTAAATCGATATCTCATCGATCGAGAAAATTGGCCTTTTTAATTTTACGGAGGAAAGACCATGACGGAATGATTGGCGACAGACACTATCTAGCGTGTCTTCCTCATATGTCTCCTTTCATTGCAAACGCGATCATGCCGGCTACATGGTTGTTACTTACTAATTGTTTGATGGACACGCCAGTCGCTATCCGCTCCCTGCACAACTTCTCCTGATCACTACGACTCGTCTCCGAGACATAGTTCTGTGTCTGCATGCGCAAAAAGAATAACAAAAATGCAGGCGGATCAGTATACATGCAACAGCAGACATGTACGTTCGGGACGCAGCCTTACGCAATCACGAAATAATAATTACGCAAACTACAATTTTCGCTGAACATTTGTCTTATTTAATTACATATTAATGTACCGATCTTCACACGTATAATTCGCTCGAACTTACTTCAAAAGGAAAAATAAAACTTCTTTACTTTGTGAAAGAATTACAAGATATGCTCGTTATATCGACTCCATTATGTTTGCTTGGGTAAATTTTAACATTCACTGGATCACGCTCGTGCGAGGGCAAAATTACACATGCAATTCCCGAAAGTAACAACGTAATTTCGTCGGCAGGTTTAATCAAACAACATTGGTAACTTTTAATTGCTTAATGGAGTAATTGTACGTCTACTGCGCCCGCCGTTAATTATTTGAAGCCTGTTAGCCGTTCTTTCACATCTAGTAGATCACTTGGTGAGTGGCCGGGGTCAGGAAATCTCTATTCGCGCACCTATTCATCTCGTCGACTAAGAAACAAAGCTAGAAAATATAGTACTTGTATCTCGCATAAATGCAACGCGTGAATAGCTCGTCGCTGGGAAACAGTTGTGCCGAGAGAAGTCAGGAAAACGAGAGGAAAAAGGAATGTCTGAGAATAGAGAGCGTTCCGCAAGATCTATCTTAAATGTCAAAAGTGCTCTTTACGATGAATTCTATGTTAATTCTCTAATAATTTGAACGTAAGCTATCTCATACTAAAGATTAATTTCTAAGACGCGTAATATCCATTAATAAAATTAGATCGACACTTGTAAGAGCTGAGGATTAAATTACATTTCTGACTGTAATTATTGGCGTGAGTAATTTGCAGTTAATTCTCGGATACGTACGCTTCAGCGCAACTTACCAGTGACTTAACATTGACGTTCGATAAATCGTCCTTGGCGGAAAAATCGATCATCTCCGAATGCGATCGCTGAGTGCCCGTATGCATGCTTGCGTCTTGTAAGCTACAGTTCTGATGGAAAAACAAAAGAAACACGAACACACTGAGCATGCAACTGCATGAGAGATTAATAAGCTGCGTCTACTTGCTAACTTGCGCCGAGCCGTTAGTCGAGTACGATAATCAAAGATAGAAATAATTAATTATTACACGCTCCACGTCGAGTCTACGTTTCGTTTATGACACATTCTTCACAATTCAATTTTTAGAAATACAATCAGAGACACTTTAATATCTGAATCCATCTGAATCATGCTTATGTTTCCTTAATTTAAATTGTAAACTTTGTCCATTTCGTTTCTTAATTTTTATTTTTTATTCATTTTTACATTGTCGACCACTTAACATTCGACTCTATCTTTAATACTGCTGTACGCTTTATACTCTACGCCAGCTTATGATATTTTAAATCATCAACTATCTTTTGAGTAGCTACTTTTAATATATTTTTTTCAACATTTATATGTATTATGCAAAAAGCTTTCACACATTAGCAAATTTTTGTACCTTACATTTACAGACGTAAGCTTTTTTTTAAAAAAATATATAAATAATTTGCTATACGCGATCTCGTCCGCACAGACATCCGCACGTAATCAGATGATATCATGCAAAAAAGCATTAACTCATGAAAAAAGAGATACATTACACACAAGTATAATCTATATTTTTTAATAAAAAATATAAATATAATAATGATATAGTAATAGCATAAACTCAATGTTTTTCTTCTTCGTTTAACTCTAATCAAAATGTTATATATATTATTTAATAAAGTAATATCGTCTAATTATTTTCTTTTCTACCGATGTTAACAACATCATACATGATTTTCGAAACGGTAGTAAGCTGCTTCGCTGCAGCTTGACTGTAATTGCGCGCAGAGGACGAGTCTCGCAAAAAGGAAACGTCGCAATCTCGATCGATATCGTCCGCGCTCTACTTAATAGCACTTGGATATCTGTCGCGATCACGTATCAGATCCCTGATTCCAAGAAGAGCGTCAGACGGTAGAAAACTCGCTCCTATCTGTGCCGACGAAATCCGGAAAAGCCAGCGAGCCGACGCATGCAGATGCGATACCAAAAGCGCGAGCTTCCGGTTTTCACCGGCGCGGCGCGACCGCGCCGGTGGCGAGTTTTACCGGGTAAAGTGATAATTAGCGTGATAACGGTTCTACGCACGGTGATTTCGTACTCGCGCATCTCGCACATGTCGGAGAACCGCCCTCAATTATATCTCCCGAGAGTAGCGGCCGGTATGACCAGCGTTTACTTGATGAAAAATCGCGTTGACATATATATATGTCTTGTCGATAATCAATGCAGAACGTAGCAAATTGGTAGATACAATATAGTCGGGTGACACAGCATGTCCCATAATAAAACACCCGTGGTTTTTGTTCATTCACCGATCCTTTTACCAATCTGATAAATCGTTCTCATCGAAAATGATAAACCGATAAACCGATAATAACGACGAGGCTTTTACAATGGATACGTACAAGTCCGATTTTTTCGATTAATATCACGTGAAGTTTAATTCAACAGAATTTTCTGATTTGATATCCTATCAAATTTTCATTCGGACAAGACACTGCCACGCTACGACGATTAGAGAACACGTACCGGTGAAAGGATATAGCTGCGGGACATCCCGTGCACACGTGCGCGTCTATCAAAACGATTTATAACTCACCACGGAGATGTTCTCCTTCTCGAGATCGCTCTTCTTGCTCTTCTTGGTTTTCTTTGTGCGCGGCGTAAGGTTCGGCGAGGTGGCATCGTTACCAGCAACGCCCTCGATCTTCTTCTTCTTCGTTTTGGTCCCACCTTTCGAGGAGGTCACCACAGTGGAACTCGTGGTCACCGTTTCCTCGCGGCTTTCGCTCTACGATGAGAAAAAGAAAAGAGATGACACGTGTGTACATTTATACATTTGAAAGGTTTGAAATCATTTTTTCAACGACTCTGACGGTACGTGGAGATCTCTTGCGTCTCGAACGATTAAAGTAGACATTTGGGTCATTTCTTCACGATTAAATGTTTCTTTCGCGATCTAATGTAGGCGGACACGCGGTCTTCAGGAAAGGAATAGACTTGGAAGAACTAGATTTAGCATTGTGCCGCTGGGATTCAATGGTCTTTACTGCGCACGCAGCACGAGGTAGGTGAAACGCGGTCTCTGCGGTCCGCGACGCGGAAGTTTACATTCGCCTAACGAACATGATTTGCAAGCAATAATATCGATTTCACGGTGTGGTAACGCAATATTCCCGTCGAATGTAAAAGTACATGGCAGTGAAAAGAGTAACATTAGCGTGCGCATTACGTTATATCTTTCCCCGCTTTTGACGTTCAGCCAATGTTCTTCTCTACGAGAGAAATAAAATCTTCATCCTTTCACGCGCAGAAGAATTTTTCTGAAATACATTTCCTATTCAACGCGCATAAAATCTCGCGGTCTTAAACTGTTACGGATTAAACGTATGGAAAACGAAAGCTGGATTGACGTCAATCAGAAAGCGCACTGGAGAATAAATTAAATTTCATGATTTTTGCTAAGAGCGTAGCCAATTTCATTATGATGAAAAATTTAACGTTTTCTTTACCTCACAGATTATAGCTCCAAAATTCGTTCTGACATCAATTCTCTCATATATCACGCACTTTATTTCCGTTTCATTTCCGAGACGATCTGATTCATTCTCGTCATTCAAAACGTACGTGAGCGTGCATAACGCGACCGACGCTTTAGTTGGGCAAGATTTCAGACGGAATATTTGTTTTAACCGCACGGCTTCACTTACGAGCGAAACTAGTCCGATATCGTACAGCGCAATTAAAACGTCATTCGCCTACGTGATTCTCGGCTCAACTCATAATTGTCCGGCTGGTAATAATCTTCGCTTTTTTACGATAACTCGATATGAGGAGTAATTACCAAACGGAGTAATTACCAAAAGAATGCGAGAGATGAGAATGCAAATAAAGATGGAGAATTATAAAAATTGAGATTATAGATTAGAGAAAAAAAACGTGTCCTCTCGTCCGTCAAGCTCTTCCGGCGATTTGGCTTCAGTGCCGTCGAAACACGAAAGCAACGGCTTGTTCAGACGCGGGTATTAGAAACGACTGACAAGAGCGTCAAGTTTTCATGGCTCCAACAATTTATACACGATGGCGTAATTGCCCGACAGCTATGGCCGTCCGACAAGGAAGATTTCCGATAAGCCGCACGCGCGAAAAGCAATACTCCGGAACGGAGTATGAGCCATGCGAGCGTAGCGTAAAACGCGACATAATGCGTACCGACACAATCTCAACCGCGACGTTTGACTATTAATTATCCAGTATCGAGAAATTGGCAAGAGACGCGCGCGATTACATCATTATTCAAAATTAACAAACGTAAACGATAAGATAAGAGATATAAAGGCAGAATATGCTGCATAATTTTTAAGTAAAATGTTCCATATGTCAACAATATTTTAATTACAGGAATCCTTTTAACAAATGTCTTTCTTCATGATAAAAACTCTTGTTTAACACAAAGAAATGGGGAATAATTATGATAATTCGACTAAACTTGTTGTTTTCTCAGCGAGGTTTTCTTATTTTACATATATAACAATAAAGAAATTTAAAGCGACTTTGAGAGAAACCACATGAAACATGCTCTGCAAACTGCCACTTTAGAATAATCCTGGCACACTTCCCAACACTTCCCAATCCTTTCTCAAGGTCCTTCCGAACAATTGGAGCTCGCAACAATTTCCCTGCGACCATCAGCAATTTACGGTACTTCTCCACCTATACTTACACACTGTCTATTCGAAGCACAAAAGCGAAGTTTCGAATTTACGAGACGCTACCTCGATTACTCGTCTCGTCTCGAGAAACAATCCGGAAGACAATCGCTTCCGACGTTCTCCACGGTACACGCTGAGAACTTTCACGTGAAAGCAATATCGATCACATCACCATCTCTCAGTTCACAACTTATATCACCCCGAACACACTATTTGGTCCTTCTTCTTCGGACTTATCCGACGCTGGTAGTCCAAGCAGCCTCTAGCACCGACAACACCAGCCACGCATTCAGAATGACGAACGCTCGTCCACCTTGGCAACGGGGTCGACGAAAGCCGACGAAGGACAGAAGGAGAAAGAAAGAGCGGTCAGAGCTGAGTTTCAAGCGCGAACGAGATGGCTGGTAACCGCTGGTAAGCGAGAGTGGGAGCAAGCTAGAGAGAAAGAGAAAGAGATAGAAAAAGGGAGAGAGAAATAAGAAGAATACAAGGAGAGAGAGACTAAAGGAAAAAAGGCGAATGTTCTTGTTCAACGACCGTGTCGTCTGGTGCGCGCACCTCCCCCGCTCACACTCGAGTTTATCCTCCCTCGCAAACTTTTATCGCGACCCTACAGCAGCAGATCAAACAGGTCAAGCCGATCGCGTCGTCCAGATCGTACCTGATCGATGATCATCCTCGAGATCACTCCTCGGGACGTGAACGAACAACCGCTCTGCGTGATGCCTCAGAGATGTCTGAGGTGCCGAGGAGAGCGTGCGTCTCGTAACGGGTTCAGGAAACTCGATGCTCTCCAAAGCGTAGCACGCAGCATGCGGCTTTCCGTTGCCGACGATTGGCCGTTTCCACCAGGCACGTGTAGCCGGTTGGCCAGGTAAAAGAACTCGGATTCTCAGCTGCTCGGCGAGCAGAACCGTGCCGAGGCGAGGAATGTTTCAAGAGGAAGCGACAGGAGGATTGTGACGCCGTTAAAAGGTTGTGTGCGCAGCGTATACGATTGACTTTGACGTGATCTCGATCTTGATCAGCCTTTAACTAGCGACATCCGTCTGATTCGTCGTGGCCTCTTGGTAGTTTCGCTCCAGGAACTTGATTAATTTTTTTAATATTGTAAATAATATAATTATAAGACTAATTTTCCTAATTTATATATATATCAAGCACAAGTCGGCATCGACGAGTTAAAATAATTGTTTATTCCCAGATAATCGCTAATTGTTCCGTTTGTTTTATATCCTTTCCGCCGTTTACCATGCCAGCAGTAAAATTAATCACAAAAATGGCCGTTATCTCTCCTTAAATCTATACCGTATTTACGGATAATGAAGGTAGAAACCAAACAAGTAAATCGCTTAAGATATAATTATCAAGCTCAGCAAACTGCTCCATACGGAATATAGAATGTATGAGTTTAAGAGATTGTTACCAATTAAGGACTAAAAGCGTCTCGAGTTTTCGAAGAATTAAGTATCCCACGTTTTTCAATTCGGTCGAGTATACGAATACTGAATCATTGTTACAAGCGGTGTTTCGCGAGTTGATATGAAATTCGTGGCGATAAGCCGGCTTCCGTTGTGACTGCAGATCTTGCATTTGCATGAGATTTGTGGTGTGAGCGATCGTCACGCGCTGCTGATCGTAGAAGGGTGTACCTTCATAGGTATCGAGGAGATAAAGGCAAATAATACACATTTACGATTTGCGAGTAATGAATTGTTGCGGAAGGCACATCGAGTATATAATGTCGAGGTTGCGATTACGTATAGAGTATACTATACATGAAAATTGACAATCGCACATAAGAAAGGGGAGAATCAATTATTCGGACGTATTTATTTGTGATTATAAATATGTGACGAGAGAGAAGGTTGGAAAATTAATCAAATAAATCGACAAGGTTGATGCCTGTTCCTTTAGCGATTTGCGATGCTATAAATAGTAAGAGGAACATAAATTTACTAAACTTAGCGCATCGATACCGCGGATTATGCGCGGATTATACCCGCGGGCATTCGCGAGAATCCCTTACCTGGAGGCTGTCCGATTGTCGAAAAAAGAATAAACGAGATTAATCGCTCTAACGTGTAAAAACATGCGTAGGAGTTACGTAGAGCGATGGCGCAATTAGTCTTGCAGAAATTGCTAGGAGGATCGGATCCACAATGCGCTCGCAGGAATTATCCGATGCAAGCAACAACCTGAACGCTGTTAAGTTATGGCGCTTGTATTTCTCTTGCGCAACGTGCGGAATATGAGTACCCGAGACGCATTCTACGCCGAACGTTTGCAGCTTTACGTCACAAGCGCGAAGCAACCCTATCAAGGCACATAAATTATACAGGGTGTACAAAAATCATTCAGCATTTATATAATAGATAGTACACATCATATTACCTTATCCATATCAATGCTAAATGGTTTTTTTATCTTATATAGGGTAATTCCGGCAAATACGCCGCGCAGGGATTTACGCCACAGAAGTCAGAAAAAATAAAAGGAGTGGGAGTAATTTTCCCGTAACTACTCTGGTACATGCCTTTATGTTATATTAGTATTGTGTTATGATTTCAGTTTCTTACTGTTAATATTAATGAAATTATTGTAAGTTGAATCGATTTGTCACTTAGAGTAAACTCGGGTATGATAGCCATAGTTTCTTAAAATGCAAAAAACGTACATTTATTCTTGTTACTTTTTAACAATATTTGGGATATTACTTTCACTGAAGCTTAAAGTAACAAATACTATCGAAATTAAAGAGAAAATACTTAACAGAACTTTAATTTTATCAAAATATTACAAAGTATACATTGGCCATCTTATCTGATTTTTAGGGAAAAGATGGCCATGACATTACGAAAGATAGCCATAGTATTTATAAATAAATAGTGAAAATAAAAGTAGTAATTATAAAACACCTTGCAATTTACGTACCTTTATTGTGTATATATAATGTTGATTATGGCAGCTTAATTGTAATTTATTAGACATTATAACAGTTTTTAGCAGACACGTGCAAAACTTTGCAGATAGTCGAAAGAAAAAATATTAGATAATATTTATAATATTGTTATTTTGAACACAGTGTACTTATGTGACCTACTGTAAATATTGATTATCTTTAAGAATGACTATAAAAATGCACTATTTATCAATTATTGGAGAAATTATGGCCTATGGCCATCTTTTCCGTATGGCCATAATACCCTAGTTTACCCTACATAAAATGATTACTGTAGGACGTGCAAAAGATTTAGTGGTTATTTCGTGATACATGAGTGTAGAAGAATAGTAAAGCATGTTGTATAACAAAATACAAGTACTTTGCTTTCGTATTCTTTGTTTAGTTTGGTGTCTTGTATGTCCCACCTGTTTGGGATATATGGCATTTTTAACAGGCGGGATTTATGCCCAAAGCATGCAAAGTGCAAAGATTGAATTCAGTGCACTAAATACAATAAATGCATTACATGAAGTATGTACCTCATGTCTTAACACTTGTAATACATCTGGGAGAAGAATGTAATTATTATTTATTATTTCATATACATATTTATATCATTCTTATTCCTTAATAAAACTTTATAAACGCATTTTATAAGTTATTGTGTCATTTTACGTCTTATTTATATGCATTATTTGTAAATTTTTTATGAGCCATACTCCCTCTCCCCCTATGAGTAGCCATATATCCCACCCCTATGGGATATACATGGGCAAAAATGCAAGAGTTTAAAAAAGTTCATTTTTTAATACGAAATATAAATATTTCGGATTTCTGATATTTTTTTCATAATAATAAACAGTACACACAAAGTTTTTATTGATATAATCGTTTACTTTAAACATAGTAAATAATACTGAATAAATTAAATTTTTGATAGGTGCGCGGCGTATATATACCGGCGGAGTTACCCTATAATCTGAATTACACGGTTAAAGTCAAAAACATTACGACATTCAGAATTATAGCGTTTGATTTGATTAATAATTTTAATGATAAGCAATACCACACAAAAAATGATTAATTTTGAAAAGATGCAATAATCTCGCTCGTGATATTGACAAAAATGGAGTAAATCAAGCATTAATTATCTCGTTAAATCATAAGAACTATTACTCCTACCTGTACAAATAAATGCGGTGGCTCGAAGGAAAGTGCTCGTGCCCTCATTCGAGGCTGTGAATTTTCTCAACGTTTTATATTCATGAGAAATATTACACGACGTACACGTCATCGTCACAATGTTACGGTAATGACATATTAATTAATTTTACTGTGAAAATAGTCGCGAGTGCAAAGTTTCGATTTATGCAGATGTAAACGAGATTATCCATAAGATGTAAAAAACACTTAAAAAAACAAGAGGACTGGTATTTCATATAAGTCACTTCTTATTACATATTTAAAACCGTCTCAACTACATACAATCTTAAGATATACGTTATAAGCTAATCAAAGAACAGTATTAATAATTCGTTCTTATTTTAAGATCATCTTAAATAATGTCTTAAGATGCCAATACGGCTCTCTAATTGGTTTAACTTAAAACCGTATTTAAGATAGTCTTAAATATAAGAATCAACTAGAATACCGCACACAGTCGGTATTAACATCTTAAGATATTACGTAAGACAATCTTGAAATAAAAACGGAATATCGACCAAAATGTAACATTTTCGTGGATGTCGTGAAAATTCTTGTGTGATTAATCAGAGATTAGTTTAATCATAAAAACCATTATAAAGTCGTTATTAGCAATTTGCCGTTAATCAATATTGGCCACAAATCAATTCAGTCGCCATTATATACAATATTACACTCTGCATTCTTACACTACGATCCTATCGACATTTTTGCGTCATTCCTTCGAGCCGCTCCTTCGTCGCTCGAGCAGGCGTCGAGTTAATTCACGAAAAAAGCACACTTACGTCACAGGCGTTAGAAACATCGCTCGTCTCCGTCTCGTCCGGTGTGGCCAGGGGCGCACGGGGAGACGAGGGTGCAGGGTAATCGTCTTGCTTCCCTTCATTATCGTCCCTCGTCGCGTCGTTAACCGCGTCACGTTCCGCCGCGGCTGACGCATCCTTCTGTCGTTCTTCGGCGTCTGCCAATTTTGTGGCCTCCTCGACTGTGGTCCACGAGTCGAGATTCCCGATCTGCTCGGCGACGAGTTGCCTCGTCTCCGAAAAGATAGTCACGCTCGTGTCAGACACTACAATCTCGGTTTTTTCGATGAAAGTCGAGTCTGACGCCGAGAACTCGCTCGAGGATTCGTCTATCAGATTTTGCGCATCTTCCGCGACGAGACACTCTGGCGATTCGTTTTCCAGAATCGATCCCGACGTAACCTGAAATTCGGCAATCTCTGACGATATCACAATCTGCGGTGGTTCCTGATCGATCTCTTCGTTCAGCACACGGCGTTCTATGTCGAGGAACTCCTGCGTGCTGGCCATCTCCGCGGACATCTCGGATTGGCAGACGTCGTCGGAGAAACGAGAATCCTCCAGTTTCAAATCGACCTCTTCGATCGTTTCGGAGAGTGACGATTTATCCCGACGGATCGGCGATGTGGGAATCTTCTCTTTCTCCTCCACAGAATTGTTTGCATAGGAATCATTAAGCGTATCGATATGTTCATTCGTGGAAGACTCTTTACTCGTCCAAGGGAATTTCACTTCTTCAAGGTTTTGATCCTGTGGACAGAGCTCCTCTTCGCAGTTAGAAAACCGACCGGCCTGCAGGCCATATAGGAATTGCGTCTTGTCAGTCCATGTGTCCAGAATATCTATATCTGCGTTCTTTCTTTCCTGTTCGACATCGGTACGTAGGAGATCTACGTCATCGAGTGTCTTCGGCACCAATTCTTCCTCCCGTTGGTATTTGTCGACGGGACAACTCGCAGAAATCGGGAAAGACTGGGAGTTCGATTCATCTACGAAATCATTTGTGACATTGACGGAGTCTGTATCATCTATGGGAGGAACAACTTCCTTGACAATCGCCTGACACTCCTCACTGTTGTTGCTGACATCGACAGTTTCGTCGCGGTTCGACTCTTGATCACCTTCGTTCGTTTTCTGAATAATTATCGGCGCAACACCAGCTTCCGGCTGCTTGACAAACGCCTGATCCTCTTCTTCGTTATGGAAACGTACCGGTTCTGGTTTTACAACTTCAATGTTGACATGTGGGGACACGTGACCATTCCGACGACCATACGGTTCCTCGACTAAAGAATAGTGCCCGCTCTCGGCAGCTATGAATTCCGCATTAACATCAACGGGATCCTGCCGACAGTCCAGGACGATTTTCTTGATTGTCTCCGGTTGAGTGATGACATTTTCGGTTTCTTCGACGACGGCATCATCGTCGTCCTTACTCGAACAGATCCTCAGGGCCAGTTCACTCTCTATCAGCTCCTGCAGGCTCTTGTCGTCGTTCTCAAGCTCATTACGTGTATTGTTTGTGAGTACGAGATCGTCATCGTCGCACAATGAAATTAGTTGAGTGTTACTCGTGGTTAGATCATCCAAATCAATCAAACCGTTGTTAGATTGAACACCGCACACCTCGTTCTTCTTGCTACTTACTACATTGATCGACTTCTTTGTCGCCACCTCCGCCATCGTGGTTCCTCGTGTGATCACACTGTGGACACCTGGAATAAGTTTCGATTGTTTTAGACAGGGTTGGGTAAGTTAATTTTTTTTTTTTTAATTAAGTTAAGTTAAAGTTAACAACCTTGAAAATTTAACTTTAGTTAAGATACAAGTTAATTTATAATGAAATTAATTGAATTAAAAGTTAAATTAATAAAAAAAAGTAATTGAAAAGTTAAAAGATAAATTTGTTTTTTTTTATTTTTTTATTTCATGATTCCAAGGTTTCAGTCTTACAAATAACGGAAATGACAAATATATACTTCATTTAGAAAATACTCTATATTCTATTTATATGTTTTGTTCATATACCTATACTGTTATATATACTGTTTGAATATTCTGTTCACATATACTTATAAGATTTAAGTAATAAAGCCATTTCGAAATTTTTGTCGGACATCTTTTCTCGCAAGTTATCGAAAATGAGTCCTCCTGAACTGAACAGCCGGTCAACGTGAGCCCACGTGAGCCGAAAATGGTATTGATGTGTTATATTTTAATAATAAAGAATAATAGATTTCAACCTATCAGAAACTAGATACATCAAAATACACGGTTTCTGACAGATTAAAATCTGGGGGTCGATTGTGTAATTTGAAACGAGATAAAAATTACAAAAGTGAGCATATTCACTAGAATATTTATTATAATTTCGTTGGTCAACACCTAGTAAATTTGCTCACTTTTGTAATTTCCATTTAATTTTAAGCTATAGCTATTGCCGCGTATTATGTCTGAGACTTAACTTAAAAAAAATTAATAGTTATAAAAAACTAATAGTTACGGATAAAATGTAACTAAATAAAGTTAAAAAGTTAAGAGTTTACATTGTAACTAAGTTAAGTTAAAATTAATTAACTTTTTAACTTAACTTTTATCTTTTTAACTTAGCACTACCCAACCCTGGTTTTAGATCATCAAGAAGATTCAGATAATTTAAAAACTTTATAATGTAAAATGCCTTTTTAATATACTTAACTAATACTAAGGTGCAAATTACGCAAGCACCTCTTGAAAAGCGTTAATGCGATAAAAAATCCTATTATATTCTTTTATATATATTTCTTCAATATCTTAATACTTTTACAAAAAATATATTAGAATAATAAGAAAATAAGCTCTCTCTCTCTCTCTCTCTCTCTCTCTCTCTCTCTCTCTCTCTCTCTCCCCCTCTCTTCCCTTTCTCGAACACAAGAAGAATATAAATTTATAGAAGTGACTGTGGATTAATACAGAGATGAAACTGGGCAACGGGAACGCAAAATGTAGGATCGATAAATAACACTTATGAGCAACCGGTTTCCCTATGTAATTTCGAGCTAGAAAGTGTGAGATAAAATAAAAATTCTTCGGGGTGCGCTACTGTGAAACGAAAAAATGTAAGAAACTACGTGTCAAATTAACGTTTTAAGTGACATAATAAAATAGATTAACATTTTAATTGATATAATAAAAATGACATTTATTTCGATAAAACGGCATTTTTTATATTGAAACATAAAAACACACGGCACATCCGTATATTCTCGTAAAAAGTAAATTACACGTATAGATATTAATATCAAAATTGACTTTATAAGGCGAACAAATTCTCCCAAGGATGGAAACTTTTATTAAAATATTCTATAATTCTCTCTTTTACAATTTTCCTAATCTTTTAATAATTACTGATTGTAGTGATTGTGATGCGGAGATATTTAATACTAGAAATACTGAGAAGTCATTTTATTGACCGTTTTTATTTTTAGATTAATATTATATCTCTGTAAAAGATAGAATTCTGAATTTTTTTAATTTTCAACAATTATGTCTTTCATATTGAAATATTCAGTTCTTCATCATTTAAAAAATTTTTACGGTAATTTATTTGTTTCCCCTTTTAGTGAGTAAGAAACGTTAATACTCTTTTAGTGTTAATATAATTCAATATAAACCGTAATGTGGCAATAATTTAATGTCTCCATTATAATCCGTTTTCTATTCGATATAATGTGAGCATGTGAATGCGATCTTCTCGACCCGCGCAATTGACTTTCTTCGTATTGAAATACAAGGAAAACTCTTCAAGTACGCGTATGGCAAACCATCTGCCACTCGATAAAGTAGCGTCGGTTTACGCGAAAGAAAACCTGCGTAAGTGGTCATGCAAGATCATGGTCAAATGGATATGTAACGTGTCTGTCAGGCGACTTTTCATCAATTCAATATTGCTCGCAGAAATTTGTATTTTTATGCAATTATTATAATTTTACGGGCGATGATATGTATATATCGTTAGAGTTACGAGGATCTATAAGTATTCGGCAAAAGCAGAAACTCTTGTACAATGTAAATTGCTGTACATTTTTTTATTGCATCCATTCATATTAAACTAAATTTGCGAATCTAGATAACAAATTGAAAGAAAAATAAATCACATATGTGGCAATTTAAGTATATTATAATTTACAAATATTAAGTTTTTTTTAACGATACCGAGTTTTTTTTTAATTTGTACTCTAAGAATATATACCTACATAATTTATAAAAAAAAATTCTATTTGCAGATAATAGCGTTTTAGTTTCTAGAGTATCGTATTTTTGGAGCTCCGTACTACATTTAGTAGATATGCGCTTTCGAGAGCTCTCGGTCCCGCTTATGAAATCGCGGAAATCGTCGCAGTGGAATGCGTGCTGTCTTAATATTCTCATACGCGGATGTGTGGGTACCAAGACGCACCAGGAGCACCAAGAGTCCGTCGCGATATTAACGGAAGTTACGCCTCTATAGGACTCGGTCGCGACTGCAAACCGGCGTTGTTGGCTGGTAAGCCAACCCTCCTATTATTAGCCATTCTGCAACGTCGCGTTTAAGCTACTGCGACGGAATGCACTTTCAAAATATGAAATCTAAAACTGTCGAAAAATATTCTGAGAAAAAGGGAAAAACGTTATTGATAACTGCTTTTACACATCCAGCGCGTTAAATACATATATTTCAATAATCAAAACCCAAATCGAGATCTTATTGAAGATAAATAGAGACAACACGGTACCGCCATTTGAAATTTCCTCGAGTTTCAATTTATAATTAAAAAATTATGTTAATTCAGGTTACGTAGCGTGCGAATTGAAAGTAGAAAACAATCTTGCAATTAGAAAGGTATAGCGCCTTGCGTCCCAATTCATTTACGGCGTTTTATATTAATGAACATGCATCTTCCTTCTTGGCTGCTTGAACGCTGTAACTCTCTTCGGTAATTTGACAAAATTCCAGCGCTGCGTACACATATCCCCAGCCGAAAGAGTTTATAAACAGAGGGCCACACGGTGGCCAGCTCGATCCCATCGTAAACCGACACTATCCGGAGGGTTCAAAATTAGAAAGTGGCAATCTCACCGCTCACGTATCTTCGCCGCGCGCACTTCTTGGTTTCTCTCCATTTTCGAGACAGGACGATATCCGAAATTGCAAGGGAAATTTTTAAGGCGTTCGCTGTGTGATATATTTGTGTTTGCAATGTATCGCCTTTGAATCACCTTTTCGCGCTGTTTAATTTAATATCCCTCCCCGTCCACATCGTTCTCCCGCGATTCTATCCTGCCTTTTCTCCTTCTCTCAACGTTCTCTTAACGTCTAACCCGCTCTCTTTCTTCCTTTCTTTCTTTCTTTCTTTCTTTCTCACTCTTTCTCTCTTGCTCGTTTCTCTTTACTCGACGTTTCACCGAGGTCGTTCCTCGGGTTCACGACCGAGACTATGGAGGTACTCCTTCCTTCCCTCTCTCTCCTTTTTCTTCTGCGTCTCTTTCTCTCCTTCAGCTTCTACGTGCCTCTACTCTCCTTCTGCTTCCATGCCCTTCCTCTCGTCCTGCCACCTCTCGTTCTCTCGTGTCTTAGCTTCCCTCTCGTTTCGAGCTAACCTCTCTCTATTTTTAGAATGACACACTACCGCGATTCAAAGACGCACGCTGGACACATCGTACTCGTCCTCGGAAAATGTTCTGCGGGTTCTGCCCAAATGCGGCGTGCGAACGAGAGTGAGCGTTATGGAAACCGAGAAGAAAGAGAAAGAGGTAACGAGTCGAGAGAATTTTTTTCTTACTTAGGTCAAGCGACAGGTGCACACAATATGCACCCTACCGTGCTGTAAGGCCGAGTAACCCTCGCCCAAGTCACAGAAAAGTGAAACTCAAGAGATTGCCAGAGCAAATTGTGAGGTGAGAATTATAAGCGAGGTTTAAGAAGTCAAGAAAAATTTCAAAGATATTACAAGACAGCACGAAGATACGGATTAAAAGTCTCGCGAGAGATTAACGTCTGAGTTTCAAGTTTAATTATTAAAGCATTTCAAAAAGATTGATCGAAAAAAATGCGGAAAAAAAATCTCGCGAGAGATCAATGTCTGTGAGGTTCAAATTTAATTATTAAATTATTTCAAAAAAAAATTGAGCAAATTAAAAATAGAAAGAAGATCGTATTCAAAGTCTTATCGAAGAAGATTGAATTACATGTTTCGAGAGTTTTTTTAGTCCAGTTTAATTATAATTTATCATTAGACGTACCCCGCACATAAAAATTATAAGAGCTTTGTGTAACATCACGCTAATAAAAGATAATTGATCACGCGATCAAATTATGTGTCGGATATATATTGTAAAAGTCCAGCGACGTGCGTTTTACGGTGAGAGACGACGGAATAAATAGAGCCTTGTTTACGCAATTAAGTTCCATCAAGAAAAATGACGGCGTCGCTAAGGGTCGTCGTGGTCCAAATAACTAAATCTCACATCGGTTTCTGCTTCGTGCTTAAGAATCGACACGAATCAATGAATGCACGCGAAAATGCATTGCACATGCCGTTGTCTCTTTTCGTGGCCACTCATAATGTTGCAACGATATTATGTACGTACAAGTGCGCTCCGCTAAGTATACCTCAGAATATACCGATCCTATAATGGCGTGCGTGATGTAGTTGGAAACGCGAGATTCTATGCGTTCATAAGAACACCGTTGCGT